GACTTTATAGACATGCATAGGCACCAAGGATCCAAGTGCAACCAGTTATGACTAGTAATGATCAGATACATACAGATTGGATGTGCATACACCAAGATCTCAGTGTTGGTAGCAAAAACAGTGAGTCTTTCTGCAAGGAACAATGTATTCTATAATGAAATGGAGATCTTTTTTAAAGGTTAAAAACTCATTCAATTTTATGTCTTACAGGGCTTATACTGAGTTCAATATTGTATAACTATTACCTCAACTGTGAACCTAGAAACTTCACCCACTTGTGAAGGAGATGTACTGTTGCTTTGGAGTGTGTTACTGAATATGTTAAAGCTGTAGTGAAATGCTTCTTCTAATTATGTAGTTATTAAAATTTTTTTAAATGATTTAAAAAAATAATTATTCAAAGCATAAAAATTTGCTCCTTAATAATTAGGAGATATGAAGAACATTACCCTTGAAATCTGCCTGACGACTTTATATCCATGCTCAGATGCCAAGGAGCTCAGGAACTAACTGACTATGACTAGTAATAATCAAATATATAGAGATTAGAAACACATGTGCAAACATCTTAACGTCATGATTTAAAAAAATAATTATTCAAAGCATAAAAATTTGCTCCTTAATAATTAGGAGATATGAAGAACATTACCCTTGAAATCTGCCTGACGACTTTATATCCATGCTCAGATGCCAAGGAGCTCAGGAACTAACTGACTATGACTAGTAATAATCAAATATATAGAGATTAGAAACACATGTGCAAACATCTTAACGTCAACTGCAGTAAAAATGAATTTTTCTGTATGAAACTGTGTATTTAATAATGAAATATAGATCTTTTTTAAAGGTTAAAACCTCATTTAATTTTATGTCTTATAGGATTTATACTGAGTAAAATATTGTATAACTGTAATAATTCAATTGTAAACCTGAAAATTTACAGCCAATTTTGAAAAAGATACATCTTAGCTCTGGAAATTGTTATTGAATATGTCAATGCAGTTGTAACGAATGCTTCTTCTTCTAAGTATGTGGTTACTAAATAAATAATTTAAAAAATAATAGATTGGTTTGTCTGGGCCAACTGTATGGCCTTAAACACCCAAAAGGAAAGTATAACCAAAATTAAAGGGTCCATTATGTAAAGAGGATAAAGGCTACATAACAAACAACAATGCCAGATAGGAGATACCTTCTTTTGAGTTGTTGGCCAGGGTGGCCCAAGGGGCTCCCAGATAGTAACCCAACATAGGACTGGAAAAATGAACAGCAGACCCCAATCTTATCTAAAGGAATATTGACAACCGATTGCTGCTAGATGAGGAACAGCTGACCCTGCTAAAACAAAGACCTCTAGATAGGCTAATTAGATGCACCAAATGGACAAGTAGTGGGGAATGGCTAGGGGTGCTGACAACACAGCAGACAGTAGCAGGGATATCAGAGTATAAGGGCTCTAGTTGGGGGAGGGAGGCTATGGGAGGGTGCCATCTGGGAAGTGGTGTATAGTTGAATAAGATGGTTTGGTATGTTCTGTGTGATATACACACAAAAAAAAAATCAACAAATTTTTTTAATGAATTATATTTGAGGAGGAAGCATTAAAAATTTGTCATGTTAATTAGTAGAGGTAATAAACATTACCATTGAAATCTACCTAATGACTTTATAGACATACACAGGTGCCAAGGATCCGAGTGCAACCGATTATGACTAGTAATAATAAGATACATACAGATGAGAGATGCATGCTCCAACATCTCAGTGTTATTAGTAAGAAACAGTATATTTTAAAATGGAATGGAGATCTTTTTTAAATGTTTAAAAACTCATTCAATTTTATGTCTTACAGGGCTTATACTGAGTTCAATATTGTATAACTGTATTAATTCAACAGAGAACCTAAAAATTTTTATAGCCACTTTTGAAAGAGATGTATCTTTGCTCTGGAAACTGTTATTGGGTATGTTAAAGCTATAATGAAATGCTTCTAAAAATTTTTTTTTAATTTTTTAAATGCGGGGTTTTTTTCATACTGGCTTGCAATCACAC